ATAGAGATAAAGGGAGAGAGCAGATAAGCCTGCCTCACCAGTTACACAAGGATGTTCAAAAAGCATATGTGTGGCAACCAAATGGAATGGCTGGTGAAAGAAAGAAAAAAAAGCATTCATTTTGGTAAAAGCTTTCAAGTGGTCTCTAGAAGATTCAGGATGTTTTTGTTTACTTACATCTGTGGAAGGTTACCTGAACTTGCCTAAAGTCACCTAGTGGGTTTCCATGGCCCAGCAGTGTCAAACCCTGTTCTCCAGAGTCATAGTTCAACACTCAAACCTCTACACAATGCTGGCTGTGAGGTACACCTGTATTGCTGTTGTTAACAGCCCTTGAGTCAACCCCAGTTCATGGTGACACTGTAGATGAGACATCTCCATGACCTCCTGTCCTCCACTGTTCTGCTTATGTGCCACACACTCAGGCTCATGACCTCCCCAATTGAGTCCAGCCATCTGGTGTGCAGTCTTCCTCTCTTTGTATTACCTTCTATCTTTCCTAGTATTATTGTGTTTTCTAATGAGTCATGCCTTCTCATGATGTGGCCAAAGTGCGACAGCCTCGGCTTCATCATTTTGTCTTCCAGGGAGAGTTCAGGCTAGGACTCATTTGTTTGTATTTTAGGCTGTCCTTGGTATTCTCAGCACTCTTCTCCAGCACCACATCTGAAATAAGGTGATTTTCTTCCTATCAGCTTTCCTCACTGTCATGCTCTCACATCCATTGGGATGGGAAATACAGTATCTTGGACGATTGTAAATTTAATGCTCAGTTGTACATCTTTACATTTAGGGTCTTTTCTAGCTCTTTCATAGGTGCTTTTCCCATTCCTAGTCTTCTGATTTCTTGGCTGCCGTCTCCATTCTGATCAATGTTTGATCCAAGGTATGGCAACTCTTTTGCTATTTCCTCATTCTCTAAGTTGAATATATGTAGGTCTTCCATGGTCATTATTTTTGTTTTCTTTATGTTCAGTATTAAGCCTGCCTTTGTACTTTCTTTGATCTTCTTTAATCATTGTTCCATGTCTGTGATGTTTTCTGCTACCAATATGTTGGCATCCACATACCATATTTTCTGGCATATAAGACAACCAGGCGTATAAGACGACCCACAACTTTTCCAGTTAAAATATAGCTTGTGATATACTTGCCGTATAAGACCACCCCTCTCTTCCAATGCACACCAAATAAAAATTAAGATACTGGTGCTGTACTATATGTGGTACCCAGTATACAACAACCAGCCAATCACGGCAAGCAATGTACCTTACCGGTGTTGTAACCTATTACCTCCTTCCCTGCCTCCCAGATCTCGCACATGCACGCCTGGTGAGTGGATTTTCTTCACCGTACTTATACAGTGCCGCCCTTGCTGCTTTCGGCGTATACGGTGGGGATGCGGCCATGGCCGTTTTTAAGCTCCCCCCACCATATGTGCCGACTGCAGATCCTCCAGTCCGGCCCAGAAGTTTCAGCACCCGATGTATTAAGACAACACCTGGCATATAAGACGACCCCCGACTTCTGAGAAGATTTTCCTGAGTTAAAAAGTTGTCTTATACGCTGGAAAATAAGGTATCTTAAATTGCTAGTATTCCTTCCTCCTATTTTTACTCCTCCTTTTTCTGAGTCTAAGCCTGCTCTTCATATGATATTTTCTACTTACAAGTTGAATACATAAGGTGACAGAATATAGCCTTGCCTGTCCCCTTTGCTAACTGTGAACCTTTCTGTTTCTCTGTATTTTGTTCTCACAGTAGCCTCTTGCCCTAAGTACAGATTTCACATCAGGATTATCAAATATATTTGCACTCCCATTTCTTTAAGAGCATTCCAAAGCTTTTCATTATCTATGCAGTCAAAGGCTTTGCTATAGTAAAGGCATGCTGATATCCCCCCGGCCGAATTCTCTTGTGTGTTCCATTAAACATTGGATGTTCTCCCTCCATTACCATCCGATGTCATCTGGGGGAGAGACACTAAGCCCAGCACCACCCAGCCTAGAATAAGAAGAGCCCTTACTTCTTAAAGGATGGGTGGGATTCGGGATTTTATGTTCTGTTTAATGTATGGAAATTGTAATGTTGTAAGCCGCCCCGATTGCTCTGCAGAGGGGCGGGATATAAATAAAAATTATTATTATTATTATTATTATTATTATTATTATTATTATTATTATTATTATTATTATTATTATTATTATTATTATTATTATTATTATTATTATTATTATTATTTTCTCAATGTGGTCCTTAGAGTCTCTTCCTTTTTTGAACCCTGCTTGCACCTCCGGAATTTCTCATTCTAGAAAAAAGGCGGGAGCTGCACTAAGAGAAATTAGGAAGAAAAATCACCAGGAACGGATGATAGCCCAATTGAATTGCAACAATCCACAAAGACAGAATTCTACTGCTAACTAAAATATGCCAATATGGAAACAAAACAATGGCCAAGAAATTTGAAATGATCAATACACATTCCCATACAAAACAAAAGAGACACAAAAGACTAGAGCAACTATAGGATCATAGCATTAATTTCTCATGCAAGCAAAATAATACTCAAAAATTCTGCAATATATCCTCTATATACCTGTACCAACTGTAAAAAAAGAAAAGAAAAGCCCACTGAATTTCAAAACAGTGCACAAATTACTATCATTCAGAATGTATTTTCAAAACAATAATCTTTATCCATTTTTAGGTAGTACAGCATAGTATGAGAAGGACAGAATCTATTCTTTCTCCAAGTGCACAATAAGGAAACACCAGACAATGACAAGAGAAGGACATATTTCACTATACCATGGTTCTCCCTCACTCCCAAAATAGTAGTGTTAATAGTATGGGAAGAGGAAAACTAAGAATCCACAGTAGCCTTAATACACATATCTAGCTCACAGACACATTGGCTGTTGCCCAACATACTCTAATGAAGCAGCAATTAATTCCATAATTAATTCTTCTCTATAGGATGCTTACAGTGATCTAAATTTGAGCAATATGAACTACCATGTTATTGTTATAAGGTGGATAAAGAATGAAACTGCTATAGCATTAATAGCCAAGTTTTTGAACAAAGGTGACACAACTGGGAAACATTTGCAGTTTAGTGAAAGTGATACTAGTTCTTCTAGTGCATGGGATAGGCAGCCTTTTTGAGTCGGAGGCCGGGTTGCTGTTCCTCAGACAATTGGGGGGCCGAAGCAACATAAATAAATAAATAAATAA